CAGGTATCGCACAATTAACTAGTTAATTGCACAATTGCCTTGAGACCAGCTACACGTGCAAAGCATTTACCGCGCCATTAAAAGCTCCAACAAGTTATAAAGCTAGATCTTGAAAATGAGTACTAATTTTATACCTGGTTGCTGTTGAGCTTTAATTTGCATGTGTAGCAGGATCTCTTCTGAGGCTGGCAGCCCCATCAACTGTGGGCTTCCAGTCGCAGGGGTGCACCTTTCCCAGCTGGGGCTGCAAGTCCTGCAGCTTCTGAAGTCTCTGAGCCCCAGAAGCTGTGAGCTCTGGGTCCTGACAGCACCCCACAGCTGCCAGGATTCAGTCCCACAGCGGAGGATGCTGGGTACCCTCTGTGCTTACCCACTTGAAACCCCCTGGGGCAGAGAGATCACTGCTGTGGTGACTCCCACCCACTCTGGGGATGCATGGGGTGCCCCCATTGCTGGGAGACCCTTAGCTCGGAGGGCTGCCAGCCATGGGCAACTGGTACCACCTTAGTTAGGGAGGGGTCCCCCCAGCGACCAGTCAGTGACTGGGGGAGGCCAATCTCACTGACTGGGGGAGGGGTCCACGTGGCAAACCTCACCAACTGGGAAGTGGCCGCAGTGCTCCCGGAAGCAGCTGTGGTGCTACATCCGGCGCTCCTACTCCCCAGCTGGCACTCACAGGGGGGGCACCGGCACTCCCACCTGCCCCCACTGCCCATTGTCTAAGTGGGGAGCGCTCTCAGGGGGAGCCCATGCACCCCTATGCATTGCCACTGGTCCCAGCTGTGAGAGCTTGCTCCTTGTTTTGCAGAGGGAGCCTGGGATCAGGCTCTTCCTGCATGAGCAATAAGGCATGATGGAATCTAATGCACGATCCCAGAAACGTGCATTAGATCCCATTGTGCTTTTACCTGCACATGTGGAGGGAGACTGTGTAACACTTTGCCCAATGGGGACCTGTACCCTGACTGAAATGTACCATGATATAAATAAACCATGATATAAACAGTACCATGATATAAATAAACTTTTTAAAACTAGCTTCGAACTTGGGTCTAAGGTCAAAATGGTCACGTGTAGGTAAGTGAGATGATGAAAGTGTGCCAGTATTACCTCTGCCGTAGCCAGGAGCCCAGCCATAAGATGCACCATACACATTTACTCCTCATGCACCAGCTCCTGAAAATAAGGCAAGGTAGCTGCATTATTGTGGCATGTAGAATGGTATTGGGCGCACACGTTCGCGTGCACTAGGATGACAGTTTGGCTCGCTTCAGGGATTCAGTGACCTGCGAGTGGAAGTCAGTTGGATAGATGTGCTTCAGAGTGGCACTCCCAGGTATAACATGGAGTCAATACAGACATGCCAGGAGGGCCCAGTTCTGCCTCATTGCCAATTAACTCCATTGGCTTGAAGTGTATTTGTGGGTCTAGAAAAGCCCTTAAATTTTGAACTGCTATGGTGAGTTAATTGTAAATTGATTGTACTGGGTAATAGGAATGCTTAGGAGTGCTGAGTAGGTGAAACCTAAGGCAGAGATGACCCAAACCACTTTATTATTATTATTATTATTATTATTATTATTATTATTATTATTATTAGCATTTGAGTAGGCATCATGAAACCTGGCTGTGCTGAAGCTGAGAGCCAAATGGGAATAGAGAAACCATAGAGGTAAACCCACAGCTTCCAGACATTAGCAGAGCCAGCTCTTAGCTGCTGGTCTATGCAAATTTAACCCATATTGGAATTCCTTTTCATGTTGCCAGCTCAACAGTGGAGCAGTCATGGACGCACATGCTTTGGATGTCCTTTGAGCTGAAGCTTTCATAGGAGAGTAGTCACAGTTTGGACCAGCACATCTTGCCCTTTTGTCTTATACATGTGAAAATGAGCTGTGTATGAGCTCGTTGAGTAGGAGCCTGTGCATCTTCAACTACTGAGAGTGTTAATAAGCAAGTAGCTCAAAGTACGAAGCATATAGGTTTCTTCTTATCTTTCAATGATATGAAAGAAATGCAGGCCTAAATGTGTGCGCCTGCCAAAAAAAAAGGAGACTGCCTCTTTAACAAATTGGTCTTTACTGCTCACTGTATGGAATTAATTTGATATTTTTAGTTCAGTTCCTTGTGGACAGTTGGCAAACTACAGCCCTACCATTTCTACAGGAAGTTCTTCTGGAATTAGCTTTGTGCAAAGCACTGCCAACTCTACAGGGCTCATGGCAGGGAGGGGGGAGCAGGTTGTAAGGGATAAGACATTAGCACTTAAGAAGCCTGGGTTCAGTGAGTAAATCTGCTACAAATCTAGAGAATGTCATGTAATCTCTGTGAATCTCATTTCTCAATTTGCTGCTTTGATGTTAAATTTGATGTCAATTTACTGCATTGATGTCCCGTACTTGCAATGTTTGTCTTGTCCATTACCAAGAGCCAGTCTCTTCCAGTGAGTTTACAATATATATACAGAGCCCAGCACAGTAGCAACCTGTAATACATCTCAGCAATGGAAAAACCTGGCCTGCCACAGCTTATGCTGTGGTTTGTAGATACACAAGAGATTTTGCTGTCCCTTACTGCATCTTCCCTGAATGTTGCATTTAAGAATCCAAGGACAGAGTGGTGATATGTGGTGATTGCTTTGAGCCCCAAGAAAAATCCCAACAGCTCCTAAGTTTCACCAGAAAATCTCATGTGCTTTTATTAGAAGGTTGTTTAATGGGTCAGTGTGATCATCCTATGATTTTGTAATAAATCCCACGTAAAAACGTTAGCTGGTTGTCACCTGCCATTCTGCCAACTGAATTGGTGAGACTAGCTTTGAACTGTGCATGGCAGTCTTTTATATCACTTACAACAGACACAGCTGGTTCAAAATATTTCGCAGAGAGAAGACTGGATGTTACTTAAAAGTCATTGTCTCCTTTAGCCTCTAATATGTTGACTTAGCACCTCAGTGTCTGGCACGGATTCCTCCTGAAAGCAATGTGTAATCAGTAATGTACGTTAAGGCATCCCAGCAGAATGACCCTCCAATGACCCTTCCTGGCTTACTTCTGCATTGCCAAGGTGATAGTATTTTGCTGCATCTTTATGTCTCAGAAGGTGATGCATTAGGAGGAATGCAGAAGAGCTTGAACTTTGCTGTCAGCCTGAGGAGCATTCATTCTTGAAATATTTAACCATTCTGACCTCCACTCCCCACTCCCAAGGCAATTAAGTTTACGAAGTGAGAGGCATAAAGCCTGAATGCATGTGTGAAATATCTACTTACATTAAGCTGTGCAATGACTGAACATTGCCTCTTCCTCTGTCCCATTTGATGCTAGGAAAATAAGTGTGCATTAAAAATGCTGTAATTGTATATTTATATTTTTATAAAGATGGCCCAGATTCCAAAATGTTATGGCTGCACTTTTTGGCTTAAATATGGTTCTAATAAAAGTAATCCCCAAAAAGCTAATTTTAAGGCCATGTTTTGAAGTAAACCTCAACCTGGATACCCACAAACTGGCATGTATACTATGCAGTTGGTCTGATAAAAGATATCACCCCCCAAAATCCTTTCCTTTCTATTAATAACAGGAGATTGTCTTGATACTCCATTTCAGAACTGTTCACTGCTAACAGTCCAGCTTATTCTTTCCAAATGTGGTGTTTATGGGCATAAATACATATATTGCATTCAAAAGTGAGATTTGCATGTATGCATTATCTTGTTGCTAGAATAGAGCTCCACCAGCATTTTTCCCACTCCTAAAGAGAAGTCCTGGCCCCACAGGAGTCAATGGGATTTTTGTTATAGATTTAAATGGGACCAGGATTTGACCCCTGGCATTCATAAATTGATATGGTAACCCTTGTGAGACCTGGGTAAGTATCACATCCAGAACTTTCCTTAGGACAGTAAGTTCCTGATGTTTGGATACTTAGGTACACTTTCTGTATAGGTTTTATAATGCTAGAAGCTTCCCTTTTTCTAGTTACCCATATTCTTTTTAGGCATAGTTGTTTATTTGTCACTTTTGAAATTTTAGGCAAAGGTTGTTGGGTCAGTTCTTATTTGATATGAACCAATTCAGCCATGCCCAGTGCTGAGAAGTGTTGGAGTCAACGCATAATGCACTTGTATAAACTGCTCAAGGAATACATTTCCTTTTACTTCATAAACCTGGATGCATGTGCATAAATTACAAGCAAAATATTTAGTCGTGTCAAATGCCCTTCCCAAAATAAATGTGTATCTGTTGATCTATATTCACATACACCAGTGCCCTGAGCCACCACCACTATACACTCTTGGTCTGATCTACCCTCTCAGAGAATACAGGTCCCAGAATTACCCCCCGAGAGTCCAACATCTAACTTGACAACTTGTGGTCAAACTAAACCATCTAATTTTGAAAGATCTCCAATCTTTATTTAAAGACAGCAAGCCTTATGTATTAATTACAACAGAACTAGGAAGGGGCAGAGTGACTGTGCAGTGAAGGTGGGATAGAGTTTCAAGGTAAGCTTGATATGGCTTAGGCTCAGTTTTCAGTAAGGATAATGGTATTGGTCACTGGGGGTAATACACAATGATCATAGGGAAAATGATATAGCACTAGAAATTTCCATTGCTGAAGTGGAAGCCAAACTCTGAACTGAATGGGCTTGAGTAGTAGTAGGGGTGAGAATGGGTGTGCAGAAACCAAATCATTTCCATCACAGCAACGGAAATGGCTCTCATAATTGTAAGAGTGGTAACAAGGGCTTTTTAAGAATATATCAAATCAAGAGAGGTTTTGTCTGACTTGAGAACAGTAAATACAGTGTTTGTGCTTAAGGAAAGGATTTGAAGGAGACCTGGACCTCTATAAACTTATTAGTCAGACCTTGATAGGATGTAAGGGTTTAGACAAAATTTAGGATGAAAAAATAAAGATATGGAAGGTGGGATATAGTGCAGACTTACCAAAGGTGTATCATGCTAAACTAATCTGGTACCTGCCTTTGATAAGGTAAAAGAAGAGAGTAGATCTTATGTATGTGAAATCCAGTAAAGTATTTGCAGTGCTACATTGGAAATTAGCTAAGATGGAGAAGATGGGGGTCATTGTAAGGTGGGTAAGGAATTGGTTAAAATGTTTTCAACGCCAGGTTGTGCTGAAGGGAAAAGTCCATGTCGAGGGAAACTACCTGCTGGAATCCCTGATGGATTAGTTTTTGGACCCATTTTCATTTAACATTTGCAAATGACAGGGTTGGGAAGCATTGCCATTGTGGAAGAAGATGAAAATATACAGGAAACTCCAGTGACTCAGAGGATGGGAGTGATAAGAATGCAACAACGTGTAGCAGTACAAAGTGCAGTGGCATGGGTTTAGAAACTAAAATAATTTCTCCTGTAAAGCTGGAAGTTCATCTGCTGGAAAGGACAGAAGATGAGAAAAACAACGGTATATTAGCCAGAGGCAAGATGACGTTGGAGGCTGATCCTGGGATGCGTTGGGTGAGGTGTTGTAAGAAGACAGGGAAGTGTTGAAGCTATTACACAAGACACGGGTGTAAAACCCCATCTGGTAATTATTTACAATTCTAAAAGAAAGACCAAATCAGACTTAAACTGTGGCAGAGAAGTTAGTAGGGCAGTCAGAGGAAAAGAGCTTTATTTTACAAGGGGAACATTGCACTTGGCTTGTTTAGCACAGAAAAATTAAAGCTGAGGGAATATAATTGATCTCAACAAATACAGGTGGGTAAACTCCAGAGAGAGAGAGAGAGATGAGCTATTTAAGCTAAAGGATAATATTGTCACAAGAATAAATGTGTAGAAAATGGCCATGAATAAATTTAGGATGGAAATCAGGAGAGAGCTTCTGACCAGTTTTCCAGAAAGACTTGTGAGTACAAGAAACTTGACTGGTTTCAGGATGAAGCTTGATAAGTATATGTTGTGGTAGCAGGGGATTTCCCGTATGCTGCAGTTTTCCTTCAGCACTATCTCTTATGTTTCAAAGTGATGGCAAGTTTACTGCATCCTTCAGTAAACTGTTTCTATGTTTAATTTCAGTCACCGGTAATCCAAAGCTTAACTGGAAATAAGATGTAAAGGCGAATGAGAGAAAGCATGTGCATGTTCTTTTATCCCCATCTCTTTCACCTTCTTGCTGTTTTTAAAGGGGAAGGGAAGTGAACAGTAGTGTAACTAAGATGCTTGACCAGGGTACCAGCCCTGGGAGCCAACTTGGTGGGGAGGGGTGGAGGAGGACACAGAAAAAGCAGCTGCCATGCTATTGGTCTATCTGCCACTACCAATGCCAATGGGCCAGCTCCAGCTGTTGCCAGCTAAGAGTGCCAAACTGCCCTGTTACACCTGAAGGGTGTTTGTGCCTGAAAGCTTGCAATTAAAGAAATTTTTTTTGCAAAAATCTTGTTGATCTAATAAAAGATATAATCTCTACTACAATTCCTGATTGCTTTTTCCTCTAGACCAATACAACTACAACCTGGATACCCAACACATGGAAGATATTGAATTTTAGCTGACTTTTTAAATGAAATCTTCATATTTTCCCAAGCAGAAAGCAACTGTGACCACCTGAAAACTGAGATCCTGCTCCTGCCTTTGTTTCAAGGTAATTTGCATCACCACAGATCCTCACGCGAGGTTAGAGACTCCAGCTATGAACTGACTGCCCAGAGGAGCATGGACAATTGGTGCCACCTTAGTTGGGGGGGCACGTGCCCCCCCAGCGACCAGTCAGCGATTGTGGCCAATCTTGCTGACCGGGGGGGTCCCCCTGTGGTCAATTATGCTGACCAGAAAGTGGCCACAGCACTCCCGGAAACAGTCACAGTGCTACATCCGCGTTCCCACTCCTCGGCCAGTGCTCACAGGGGGGCTTCAGCACTCCTGCCTGTCGCCCCCCCCCCCCGCCTGTTGCCTAAGCGGGGAGCACGGCCTGTCAGGGGGTGCACCAGCACTCTCAGGGTGTGCATATGCACCCCCTACGTGCCGCCACTGCAGAGGCGTTTTCCCTCTATTGACTCCTCTGTGAAATCCTATGAAATATGAACTTTCATTTTTACCCAGGAGAACTTTTACAATCTTTTCTCCAATGCCTGATGAAGGGTGTTTGTGCCCAAAACCTTGCATTAAAGAAATTTTTTTGCAAAAATCTTGTTGGTCTAATAAAAGATATCTCTATTACGAGTCCTGATTGCTGTTGTACTTCTGGAAGTGAGAGTAGGGGCAAAGAAGAAATGATATATGACTCACAAGGCTGGAAAGACACTCAAGAATCTCCTAGCTCAGCTCTGCATGGAAGTGGGTGTAGTTCTATCTGACAAAGGATTAGCCTTTTTACAGCTTCTGGGAGTGGGGGAGAACAGATTTTTTTGACAGTTATCTCTTTTGTGTGTGTGAAAATGCCCAGTTTTGAAAGGCCATTGCTACGGGCAGGAGACTCCTTTTTTTTAAAAAAAATCTCAGCTGGCTCCAGTTACATCCTGTGCATAGTAGCGTATACTGTACATACTCTTGTTCAACTGCATTCCCAATTTGCGAAGCTGGGTGACCATAAACAGCTGTCTGCATTGGACAATTAGCATAACCTGTAATAAAATAATGCTACTGGCAAAACTATATATGTGTAACTCATGTGGACTCTTGCCATCCTAAAATAAAGTGACTATATAGCGATATAATATTCTGCTACAGTTGTGCTGGTTGGCTGCCCTCATCAAATAAGTTTAACTTGTAGAGTGCTTTGGGTAACTTTTAGTTGATCATGGTCTCTTTGCTTGTGGACAGGGTGAAGAAAAGTAGAATAAAATAAATGGGTTGTCTGTTTTCTGTTGAGCTGTGTGCACAGCTTATCCCATCCACATGTAAGGCTACAACCCTTCCTGCTTTCTGGGACTTCTGAATTGTGTTGGTAGCACATAGGACAGGCCTCACCTCACCTTAGTTGAGGCTCCTGGGTGTTCTCTCCAAAAGCCAACATAAAATCCTTCAGGCATAGGACTGTATATAGGAGTGGCTTCTGCAATGCTACAGTAGGTTTTATTAGACTCCAGACAAAAGTGTATGTCTGTGTGCAGAAGAGTGACTTTCAAACTCTCTGAACTGCTCTGGAACAAGATATCCAGACTGGCCTGACTCTTGGGCCAACCTTCAGAGATTTTTTGCTCAACCCCCTTCCCTGCTTTTATCCCACACTATCTTAGTTTTGCTGGCAAATGAAAAAGCTATTGAGCATGTTGATATGTTTGTGAAGGTCTGTTTCCAGGAAACCTGAGGGACAAGCAATTATTAATGGCTCTGTAAAAGAAGATATTCCCAGCTAAACTGAACAGGGATCTATAAAAGTGATATTGGTTTTCACATCATCGCAGCCATTGTGAGATGATCTGTTCTTGATTTTTATCCACCCATGCCTCCTCAGCTGCAGGGACCCAATATTTTATTCAGTGCAAACGCAGTTGAATAAATCACTTCTTCCACTGAGGTTGTTAACCTAATCAAATATTCATTTCCAGGGCGCTTTAGCAAATGAAGTTCTGACATAAAGTAATTCAACCCCAGTGTGTTCCATTTAACACGATTATTTTTTAGAGTAATCAACTTGCTTGTTCCAGATTGAACTTCCAGTGTAGACATATGTACACCTGTAGCTGTTACTGATTTGTGAGGGTTTTGTTATTTTGTGGACATATGTAAAGTAGGAAGCACAGGGGTGGGATGCTGATTTGCTGCAGATTTTCATAGCTGATGAAACCAGTGGAATTGTGCTGATTTCCCAATTGAGCATCTGTCCCAGGAAATGTATTTTTTAGCAGAACTATATTTCCTGGGACAGAAAATTATACTAGATTTTCTCATTGGGAATGGGACACGTTTAAAATAAGACACCTTATTTAGGCACACTATGCGAATAGCTATCTTCCTTGACTAAATCAAGAGGGCATACTGTGCTAAGTACTGGAGTTGTGCATGGGTGTGGCGGAAAGGAAGGAGTGTTTAATTTTTTTAAGATATGAATAAGAATTGCTTGAGCCATTCTTGAGCGTAACTGAAGAAGAAAATAAATCTATTCTTGCTTTGCCAGGAGCTAACTCAAAACCTATTCAGTAGATCATATTTGAAGTGCAGTGTTTTTGTAGCTGAGTTATGACAGAAATTTTCAGTATTTTAAAGATTATTTATCATTACAGATGTGCGAATTTGAAAACCGGTATCACTGCAAAAATGCCTCCTGCAGAGGTCCACTAGGTATCAGTCAGACTGGAGCTTCAGGAAGTTGTGGCTGTGACAGGCCCCCATCCATCAGATTCATAGTTGTATCCATCGTGGCCACAGGGCTAGAGGACTTCCCACCCCACTTGTCCCTCTGAACAATACTGAAGTAAGGTCAGTTACCTTCCAAACTTGAAGCTCCATAAAATATAAAGTCCTTTGCCCTGAGCTGGTCCATACAAAACTATCTAACATGATCTATTTTCAAATCCCACACACTATATATCAGTGGTTCTGATAGACTCAAGGCACGCCTTGATAGGCTTGAGGCACTCCTCAGAAAATGCCAGCTCTTAGTTTTCACTTGATTTTTGACTACAGAAAAATAGAGCAATTCTTCTATTTCAAAGAACTGAGAAAGACCCCAACAAATTTGAATGCTTTAACACTGTAATTCCCATTTGAAATCTTTAGGTTTATCTTGTGAATCATGTGTAGGTATCTGCATACCTCCCAGTGCTAATATTGCATGGCACCCTGTGGCACCTTGAAAGGATCTTAGGATGTCCCAGGCTGCCCCAGCACCCTGGCTGAGAATCACTGTACTAGATCTTGCCTATGCTTTCTAAAGCAACATAGCTTAAATCTGTTTGGCTGCTGCATTCTGGGGGGGGGGCGTGTTTCTCCCATCTTGCAGTTTTAGAAAGGATTAAAGAGGCCATGTAATGGAAAATAATAAGTGACAAGTTTATATCTTCAAGTGGCATTGGGATTTCTTTCTTTTCTCTTGCACAATAAAAAAGTTCAGTATTGTTAAACACTGCACAGAAGCAAAGCTGAGGTTCACAAAATACAGTTTCTGTTAATAAGAAGACAACCAATGACACTAAATCAGGAATATAAAGTTAATGAATGCGTTCTTGTGGTTGGCCTGTAGAAATTCTTGTCACTGAATATTATGGTGGACCAAAAACTTAACTGGATTCAAAGGGGAAATTGATAATTCTTTGGTTAATTAGAGCATACAGAGCTAACGTCTCTGTCTGTACTGCTGTAAGAGTTTTAGAAGGGGTACAAAACATTTGCTTTGAGCAGAAGGCAGCTTCAAGCAAAAAAAAAACCTGAGGAATATTTTTTCTTGCACTGCCTTTGAAGCAGATGGGCCTGGCCTCTGTCAAAGCTGGAGTAGTGGGCTAGATAGCTGATGCAAATCCACCCTGCTGATTCTGTTTCCCACCCTATCCCAGGATGTAAAAGAAAACTGTTTTGGTTATTCTGCAAATTGTTCATTTTGAGCCAGGGGAAAGGGGTGTGTAGGGTTCCTGCAGTGCTGCCTACTCACTTGATATGATCTCATCTCATGTCCTAGCTAGGTTTGGTTAGCACAAGTATCAATAGTGACAAAGAAAAAGTAGCACAGACTTCAGTGTGGGCTATCGACTTAAGTGGATGCCCATGCCACCGCATCTTGACCCCCACTTGACTACCCAACTTATTCAAGTTAGGTGGATTAAACCAGCAGATGTATCCCTACATGTGCTGCAATCACATCTCCCACTGTAATGGAAATGCATGCCCAGTGGATGGGAAAATCCCTGTCCCAACTACTCTGTGAGCAAGTCCAGGTTGGGTGTGCTTGCTAGCTTGGGAGAGCACAAAGCAACATCAGTAGTTGGAGGGCAGCTGCCTCTCAACTGGTATGAAATAGATGTAGCTCTACTTTTGGAGCTCATACCCGAATTGTCATTCAGGAGGATACCCTGGCTGTGCTAACTCACAGGGAAGGAGACTGTGAGGTTACCTAACAATGGAGTTGTGGGCTATTTTACCTAAAGGTCATACCCACATTTCTTTGGTATCATACCATCTAGGTTTTCTTTGCCCTTCTTTAATGGCATATTCATCCTGTGCTCTCCTGGCATCTTTGCAAACATTTATAAATTTCCTAACACTCCAAGCACGATGTGCCTCAAATCTCTTCATAGATAGAGACAGAAAAAAGCTTAAATCCACATAGAGTCCGTAGCAGAGCAGAGATTAGCACCCAGAAAATTGATTCCCAGCCCTGAACATTAGCTACTAGACCATGCTTCCTCTTCAGCATGGTGACTAATGAATTACGAAGGACTAAATTACATTTCTGGCTCCAAGTTATAATCCTCCATGTACTATTCAGACCTCTGGGCATAGCAGAGAACAAGGGGCTGCACAAACCTCCTGGAAGTCTCAAGAGATTGGTAATGGGATTCAGAGCGTCTTTGGTTTCTCAGTCTGCCTTGTATGAAT